AAATCATTAAGATCTTGCAGAATTTAAGCGTATTATTATGTTAGGAGCTATCTAGCTGCTAATTAAAAATGTTTTCTTTCGTTTTTTTGCTTCCGTTACATCTATATTCATCAATAGTCAATCCATTACTAATTAATAGTAAAGCATAACTTTTTCATGAATAAACATTCAAGATTTTTCGTCTTTTACAACTTTTCCTACGAATGAGATACAATTTTCTAGGCTTTGATTCAGAATTATTTTTTTATTTTTAGATAACTGCATATTTATTGTAGTCTCCATTGATCTATTTATTATTACAACTGCTTATATACGAACGATCAGTGAAAAACGTTATTTTTCTCTCTCTGTTTTAATGTTCATTTCAAACAACGAGCACCGATCGATAAAGAAAAACAGAAAAAATTCGATTCATTTGAAATGAAGATGATCTATTATTTAGTAACATGTAATTCACCTTTTGATTTAACGTTTTTAGTACGGTCTATTTCTTCTTCCATATCTTTCTGAGTTAAATGAGCACGACTGCAAATTTTTTCAATTAATTCACAATAACATAGAGTATTAGATCTCAAAAGTAAATTTCATGTTTTAAGATTTTCATACCATAGCTAAAGTACTCACAAATTAGAATGTTAGAGATCTTTTTCTTTTTTGTCATGATTGGATATAGTTTATTGAGGTATATGAGAAAAAGCAATCTTTCCAATGCAAAACAGTTAACTACGTATTAATATTCTAGATCTCTCTCTTAAGATATCTGAAAATAATGTTATCTTGGTCTTCTTCATAAAATGTTGGTTTTTTGCATTTGAAATATACTTTTTCTTATGTAACTTGGGGAGTTCTACTCAACTATAAGAAAAATAGAAAAAATTCTGCTAAAGTTTTGATTTGTGCGTATTTAATATACGGTGTAAAAATCCTGGAATTCAAATATCTTGATTTAAGCATGACAACAGAACCCTATAATTTTATTTTCTTAGATTAATGATGAAAGTTGTAATTAGACCCTAATATATCTAACCATATTAACTAAAAATAGAAACACTTCTATCACTGGTCAAAAATTCAAAAACTAACTATTTTAATTCCTCATATGAAAATCTTTCCGACATATGATAAAGTTGTGTTAGACATTTCCCACATCTTGTACTTGAATCATAGCTCTCTAAGATTAGACGTTGAATATTATTTGTTTTTTATTGTTAGCAATGATTGATCTATAACTTATTTTATTATTCTATTGATTAGTTTTCGATTTAAAGTTTCCATAGAAATTCTTGCCATCAATCATGATCTGAAGAGATTGTCAAAAAAGCCTTGTTTAATTATGTTCCTAGAGATTGTTGTTAGTGAATTACAATATGAACTCAGTCGAATTGGTCTTGTTACACAATCATTCTCAAATTTTGTCGAATAACAGGATATGATAAATGATCACATGAGAAAGAGTAATGCGAGTGCATTTTGAGAATCGATTTCGCTTCACTTTTCAGCATCAGTTTCTAGCCATCTATTTTTGTTTGTCTATATCTGTATGTATCACACCATAGATATGTACTAATTTCAGTCTGTCCTCTATATTCCCGTACGTAGATACGATTTTTATCGCCAAACCATTTAATAAAAGGGACAGGCACAGCCAAAGTCCAAAGATTTTTGTTACAATCATTTACAAGAATATCGTCAAACACTCATTAATCTATTATTTATACAGGAAGTGAACTTATTGGAAGAAGAATCGATTCAGAAAATTAAAGAAAACAGCAGAAGAATGTAGACAAATATTGATTGAATAGCATATGCAACATTTTAGTGAAATGGAATATATATTATCTCAATTAACTGATGAGTTAAAGAAGATTCGTGAAGAAAATGAAATTGATGAAATCAATATAGATCGCTCAGGAAAAAAAAATCAAACGAAGTTAACATAAGATTCAAATTCGATTGATTCTGCACATTTAGTAAACATCAGTTGCATCCATTTATTGTCTGGTAAGTGTAGCTATGACATATAGATTGGTAAATTAGTTTTGCTACAGGAACACGAAACTTTTTCAGGAGACTTGACTAAAAACTCACTATAGAGAACTACTGTGTTTTTATCCATCAACATTACAATATCGTATTGTATTAGTAATCTTTTACTAGAGAGATCATGTATTAACGGTACGATGATTTCATTCGAATTTTTCTCCATAAAGTCTTTTTGAAAAATAAATTTTACTAGTTGATTTATTATTTTGACCTAAGATTACTTATATATGTTCTAACTTGCTAGAAAATAACTCGTTATCAATCGCATAAATGTAGAATATTATATGAACATTATTAGAACTGAAAGAGCAGTTATTGCTCACATATGAATCCTCGTTTTACACATAAATACTAAGAATTATTATTGATTGAATTCGAATAAAATATGTTTCGAATACTTTTTACTACTTGTACTTTTTCATATATCTGTTTGCTGGCAAACATTTGAAGCAAGGATTGAAATCTAATTTGATTATATGACTTTTCTTACAAGCAAGAGTCGTAAGAAATTAGGTTTACTACAGTTGAGTGACTCTAATACCTACAGACTACAGCATGAGAAATCAAAAAATTTTTGTTTCTCCTTAAGTCTACTTTCACTAAGATCATCAAACATTAACAGATATCTCTGTAAGTCTGAGTGAGTCCACATAAAATTATTTAGAGACCTTTGACTTGACTCTGACAGAAAAATCACATGATACGTATTCGATAGTATGAATCGAATCATTCGTATCACTTGTTCACAACAGTCGTAATTAACTCTTTTCGAGAAACACTCATCAATACCATTAATATCTCTTCAATGCATAGTTTTCTTCCTTATTGTATAAATGGTAACGAAATCGATTTTCTAAGAGCTTGTTCGAACCTTTGTGCTACGCAAGTGTCAGTGAGGCATGCATCCAAGAGTAAACTCGCATCCCTATTCATGTCGATACTGTTAGTAATGACAGACAAGCGATTTCAAATTTCTTTCTATCATATCAATCATTAGGAACACAGTAATGATAATGTTAATGCACATTTCAGTTGTAAAATCGCCATCGATTGGAATTTCTATTAGTATAATTTTGCTGTTTATATATGGACCAAATAAAATTTTCTATTTGTTCGGAGGCAATACAGTGATAGTTATGTGTTTTGATAGAGTGAAGATAACCATTTGTCAAATGTGTAGTTTAGATGCTTAAATATTTGAAAATTTATCAATAGTTTAAAAAAGTATGGCATATTTAATGAAATTATTTTCCTCTGTTTTAAAGAACATAACACTAGTACCAAGACTGACCAAATGCGTCAAGAATTTTCTGAGCTACACGATGATCCTGATGGAATTGATACTGAACGTTATGTTACTTTGAGTTTAGATGTTGAGAATCGTAGTATTGAATTGTTGTCGTCAAACAACAGAAACTATGTACAAATTAAAACAACAAAGTTATATAATGCCTCGAGGAAAACAAAAAAAAATCGTTATGATCTACATGGAACAATGCAATGTTTATTGGAAAGCAAATCAGTTCAGCTGCTCATCGTAAGATAAAACTCAATAAATATGAAAAGTTTGCTTGTATTTGTCTTCAAGATACACGAAGTAAAACTAACGAACACAGTGCTGATTTGATGTCGTCCCCAAATAATTGCAAATCATCGGTGTCTGACGAGTCTCGGACGAGTACAACGTTTCATAAATCATCATCTATATTTCTACATTGAAAAACAATTTGTTCAAAACAAATCATTGAGCTCCATACAGAGGACAATTTATATCCGATGTTCGTGGTAAGATAATTTTAAATAAGTAGGAAGAACCATAGTTTTTATTTAGCTGCTAGATAATCATGGTGTTCATCTTGGAAATGATAGCAAAATTAAGTATATTCAGATTATATATATAGTATATGGTATTTGTTTAGTCTTTCAAATAGTATGGCGATGATTTCTATAATTCTGATGTCAAAAAAAAATAACAACCGAGTAAGTATATATTTAGTTTTTGAAAAGAAAAATTCAATCATTCATATAGGTATAGCTGATGATCATCCAATTAAACACTATCTTCCACGACCTTCATTGACAAATACAGATGATATATTATTAAAGCAATAAGAAAGAATGAAGACTTTGGAAATATCCCTAGAATATAAATTTGTTATCTACCATTAGGTAATATAGTATTCTTTATTTTATTTTTAATGTTTAGTTCAACAATGACTTTTTATTATATTTCATTAGACAAAGTCAAACCAATTGAATTAAATGAAGAAGGTAGTGTTGACACACAAATTGTATCAAATACTCGTCTTGCTCACTTTGAAGGTTTCAATAACGAGGTGATTTATTGGTTTTGTGCTCAAACTGGATCTGATAGATCAGTAAGTTTTGTTTTTTAACGGCTACTCATCCTTTACTTGAATGTCATGCCGATGTATTATCTAATAGAGAACATCCGTCATCACCACTTCGCCTTATTATATCACCTAAATGCCAACATGTTTTACAAATAGAAGATGAAGCAAGAAAAATCACATATCGAACTGCTGTGGTACCATGTAAGTTACTTCATAAACGTACAGCGAGAATATGTATTCTCTTAAAATGTCCGGGTGATTATTATTTGCATCTACATCGCATTGCTGCTGACGGTCATGATATGTTTACTGTATCGGATCGTCTTCAAGACATGATGGGAAAAGTCCAAGTAAAATTATAATTCAGTGAATTGTATTCAAAGTTTTACAGGATTCCTTATTTCAGTTTCACTAAAAACAAGTGAAATTTCTCGTTATCGTTGAAACTAACCGGTATGTAAAAACGACATCGATGGTGTTGAACCTAATTTTGATTACGGTTTTTTTGTTTGTCTAAAGAATATTAGATACAGAATTGATACTTGATATACAAAAATTAGAAAGTCTTGGTTTATCATTACAAGAAGAACGTGTTCCATGGATATTTTTCGCAACATTTTCTAACCAATTACAGCAATTAGCAAAACATATTCTTCATGAAAATTATATTTTTTTTCTATGAGAATCCAAATGTCGATGTAGCACATACAATAGAAGAAATACCATTTACAAAGAAACAAGATCTGAACGTTGTTTGATATTTGTTGAAACACAGTGATCAACTGATTCTATAGGTGCATTACTTTTACAAAAAAGTTTCATGAGTATAACATTCAATGAAAATCAAACACACTAACAATGAAAGAAAACTGTAGAACAATTTACAAATGGTCTTATTGATTTTGTTGTTCATTATGATTTATCAGATACAAGTGATTTTTATATTCGTCGTATTGGTCGAACAAGTAGAATGAATTAGAAGAAAAAGAAGAAATAGTTTTGAAAATTCCTTTTTTTTGCATAGGCCATGCTGGTTAATTGGAGAAATCCATATGATTTTTTGATTCCGATCGATAGTCTCACAGAAAACTTGCTCTTGAATTTACACTAAAATAATGCCAAGTATATTTTGTTCTCTAAATCGAACATGAATTTTCAATTGATTTCTTTCAATAGGATGGTCAAGCAACATCAGAATTTCTTAAAAAATATGGTGATGCGAGTACTATTGGATTTTATCATCATGACCATAGGTCGACGAATAGTAATATAATACTGTTAGTGTAGGTGTGGGATAAGACACATACCTACACTCCGACCCACACCCACCGTCTGTTGAGTAATTAAACTAAGAAGTATTTTTAATAGATTTTAGATCGACATTGTTGCTGAAAATTTTGAGCGCGAGGAAAGATTTTTAAAGATCTTGTGTCATGTTCAATATGTCCTTCATATTTAGCCAATAGACATTAAAACAAGGATAACATTTTGGATATATAGATAGATTTTATATGCTCTTTTATATCATATTATCGAAAAGATGTAAAGCAAAATTTTTCAGAGGAAATGATTTCTCGATCGAGTAATAGATTGTCTCTTAAAATAACTTTGAGAAATTTATGAAATTCTTATGAACCATCCACAATAATCAATCGTTACCGTTCTTCATTAAAAGTATAACTCATAAACGTAGTTATTACTTTTTTGTCTTTACTATCCAGAGAAGTAATCCTTTGTGGTTGTTAAGCAACATTTTCTTCAATAACAACTTAGAAAAAAATTCTTTTGTTCGTTTTTAAAATGTGATTACTGTGCTTCAAATAAAATGATTCAGAATGGAGAAAAGATAGAAGAAAAATAAATTTGCATTTGTACATGAGAGTCACAACAAAAAACACTTGTATAAATTATCGGCTAGAAGTAAGAGTATTTAGAGAAAATAATTGTAGAAAAATGCGTTCAACAGAATATTTGATTTTCGCAAATAGTAACCTTGTTTGAAATAGACATTATCAAACTCTATTCAATCATTAAGATAAGGTTTATCTAGCTTTATATGTCAACCTGGCAAAACATCATTTCTATTGAATATGAGAATAATATTTTTCTTCACCCAATCCATATACCACACTCACAAGTTAGTGTTCAAAAATTGTAAATAAAGAAAAGAAACTTCTTTTTACAAAATTTGACAAGTATGAGAATTAGCTTTTTAATTATTATCAGATGATGACAATGTTACTTCCAGTTTGTTTCTTTTTTTGTTTTTTTGAGATAAAGTCTTTATTATTATAAAATGTTTTTTTCTTAGTCAACAATGGAATCATTTGCCTCATTTGTAAATTTTCGATTCGATACTTGTTTAAACTGTAAATATGACTCTCAATTATTGATTTTACAAAATGTTAATATTTATTAATATTAATTAATTTGAGTTCATTTTCTAATTGATTATTTAAATAAAAATAATTCATATTAATTTATTGATCAATTAGATGAATGTAGTCTTCTTTTTATCTTTTTAGTCAAATTTTATATTAATTATTCAAATAATTATGTTCATTTATTTTAGTATAAATTTCAATGATCAATATTCTTTAGTAGAAAAATTTTCAATAATAAATGAATAAATTTTTTTCCCATCAAATATCAATTAAGAGTTTTATCTTGACAAATATAATAATTGTCAATCGCATGGATTATTATCTAAGTGAACAATTGTTTTTATAAAAAAATCTTTTTATTGAATTAAGGTTGAACTTAAAACAACTCTTAGTCAATTTTTTTTTATCAAAGTAAAAACTTTTATAATTAACAGTTCTATTATAGTGAACTTTTATGTGGATAATCTCTGGAAAGCTTTTATTTATTTAAAAAAACAAACATGACGAAGAGAGTTTTAGGTTTCCTTCAAGGAAGTCTGATAAAGAACATTCTTTCATTATTGGCATTTATTTGTTCTTTTCTGAAGCACAGAGTAATAGGTGTTTGCATAAAAAAAAACAAGATATACTATAACTTGACTTTGTCATATAGCATTAAGAAAATTTTGTTCTCCCTTATCAATGATTTGATTTAAGAAAAAGTTTCGTTTGATGAGTGTCTAGATAAAAGATGTGAAATAGATCAGGTGAGAAAAACAAAATTATTGATTGTTCAAATTTATTCTAGGCTATTTGGTAAGAATAAGGCTACTTCACCACCGAATTCAGTTTAGAAATGATCTTTTTTAGTGATGGTTTTCTTCTCATTCATAGTGATAAATAAATATGTTAGTCAAATTAAGGGGAAATAAACTGATTTAAAGTGATTTCTAGTAATAGAAGTCAGTTTTCTGAGAGATAAGAGCATTTCACACATGATGATATTGACTTCTTTCTAGATAAATATTTTTCTGTTGCTTTTTTTGAAATATTTGATCTTTCAATAAGATAATAAATTCGTTTTACTAAAGTAATAATCAATGTATTATTGCAAAAGGAAAATAATCCTACAAAAATTTTGAATAATGTTTTTCTTCGAATAAATAAATTTCATATATTTTAACATAATTAATTCGTGTATCATCTCTGGTAAACTTGTGTGCCACTCTTTCTAATGACTAATCATTGATATAAAGAAGAATATTAGTATGAAAATATGTTTTTGTATTAAATAAAAATTCTTCTTTATAATTATCATGAACTTTTGAAATATCAACTGTAATAAGATAATTGTATTTAACACTTGATGAATTTTCATTATGATTTATTCTTTTATAAACTTGTTTATGTTTTTGTGATTGATGATAAATCATAGTGAAATGATTGAGAAATTCGAATAAAAATTTCATACTCAAAATAGAAATAATCCACCTGGAAAATAATGTGTTATCTTTTGATAATATTGCATTTCAGATGAGTGTTCCACATCTGGTCAAGAGACACCAGACTGAGTTAAAAAAGACATCACATTCCTATCTATTGGCGTTGTTTTTTCTGTACGACGATGGTTTACGTCGAAATTTTTCAATTACATGTACTATTGAAAATAAATTTAATAGTACTATAACTTATGAATGAAATAGAAAGTTGTACCTTACCAAAACAACAATGCCACATCAATTAAAAGTTTTTGCTCTTCGTTGTAAGTACAAAGCAACTGATAAGATCTTAAATAACATGTGTTTTTTTAGATCCGTCGGTGAATTGAAAATGAACCTTGTATAACAGAGATACAATTCGATAAAACTCAATAGCAGACGATATTCGTTTACATGTTCAACATATACAGATAAAATAGATTATTTGATCTTTCTCTTAGTGATTTATAAACATATTTACCAACATCTATTCAAGTTTGATTTGATCCTTTTCAGTCTAATCGATTATTACCTATTTGATTTAGAACAATAATACAACAGGTTCAATTTATGATCTTAAAAGATGTCCTTCAACAAATATACTTGATACACCTACGTTTTATTCAACAGTTCGTCGCTCATTATCGTGAACAGTATCTGTACAATTATATAGTTTTTCATCAACTTATTGTGCTATGGCATGTCATTCAAAACGAAATGAAATTCTTATATATGATAAAGATGAACTTATCTTATACAATGTTAATGGTACTTTAGTAAGTCATTAGTTTTTTATTTTTATTGTTTTTTTTTAAATAATTTAATAAGATATAAATACTACGATTAAAAAAATTCATGGTACTCAATCAAATCATCTTATTTCTTTGACTTTTATTGTACAAGATAAAAGTTTTTTTATTTGTTGTCATGATTCAAAAAGAAATTATATGACAATATGTTTCATTAACAAAATAGAATTTAATAAAAATTTGGTCAAAAGAAAACTTAGTAATAAAGATGATGCTGGTAAAATATAAATAAATGATATTTTGATTATTACTATTTTAGATATTCAATGTGTTCGTGTTAATCTATCTAGTTCACAACTTGGTCTTGTTATTAAAAATAAAAACGATCAATTTCGTTTTGTTCTTTATTCGATGGATTTAACACATATATGTTGCAATTCTAATTATTCCTTCATTATTACGATTCAAAGAAAATCAAAGTATTAATTTTATACTATATTTAACAGCATTTATTGATGATCGTTGATAGCTACTTATTTATAGAAATGGAATTCATAAACATTTTCTTTAACGTGTTTTTTTGAAAGAATAGATAAATAAAAACTTTTTGAATAATAATCAATGACTATAATATAAGACAAGAGAGAGAAGATCGAGATATATAATTGATCGAAAATGCTAAGTTTTGGGATAGATCAGAATGCTACTAAGTTTTCTTGATAATTAAAAAGATGATAACACTTATTAGCAACAAAGCAAAAAAGTATTAGTGCATTTGCTATGTAAATAGTATATCAAATCATTAAATATATATCAGAAACTTGTATTCTTTTAACTACTTAAAATCTAATCTAATTGTATGAAAAATTGAAATTCAATATTATCAAATTTTGATTTCGACAACTTGATACTTTAACGAATGTAGTATTTAGAATTTAAGAGAGTATTTAAACAATCAAATTGTAAAAAGAATGCAAACGAAATTTACACAAAATTTTCTACCTGTTAAAATTAGAATGAATTATTTTGATACAATCTAACTAAAACAACAGAAAATTGAATCTGCGACATTTATTATCACATATTATATCG